AACTGTGTGCTCAGGGAAGCCAGAATAAGTTGGGGTTCTCTCCAGATGGCTAGGCCACAGGGCTCAAGGTCGAGGGAATTGTGCTCTTTGGACAAGATGTAGGTCATATTCATGTGCTGTTGGTACCTGGGTAGATATGGAGGATTATGAAGGGCATGTGGAAGCTCCTGCCAAGTGCCATATACAGCAAAACAAGTGTCCTGCATGGGAGCTGATGAGCACCATAGAGAGCATAGGGCAAGTTGCAGGGTCACATGGGATGCCTTCTGCTAGCCAAATGGGGACAGTGTCAATAAATCAGCTGGGTAGGCAACTAACTTGGGAAAAAGCTCTTATTGATTCCAACAATTAAAGAGGCACCCACAAATGAGCTCTGGTTTTTGCCCATTGTATAAAAATATTAAGATCATTGGAATCTTAAATGGGAGGATTGTGAAGCCCTGAGCAGGACTTTGGGGAAGGGTCCCCATGAGGTGGTATAGGGAGGTGACCCTGTGGCTATGGTTCTGGAGCATTGGGGGGTCTTAGTGGTAGCAGCACCCACAGTCAAGAAGGGTCCTGCCAACAAATATTAAATTCACTAACTCCCAGCAGGATACATATGTAGGCCAATACAATGGTGTGATAAAGGCAAGCAACTAGGTGAAGTGTTTTGGGGCTCCTGTAAGGTTGTGAGACTTGACACAAACCTTGGCTTCCCAGGGCTCAAAGGTGAGGCAGAAAGCAGCTTGACAGATTACCACCTCACACTAGAGCAGCACTCATTATAGTAAGCAAGGGGGCTCTAGGGTAAACACATAGTTAACTCTGCAAAATGCCACTCACAAGATCATTGGCAGGGAATTTAAACAAACAAATGTTCAGTTCGGCACCCGGGTACTGGGCAGAGTTCACCATCATCAGCCACTGAGTCCTCCTTGGTGACATCCTTGTCATAGTTGAAGGTTTTGGAGGCAGCATTTAGTATGAAGTTGTCCCCTGATGTCATAGGCTGGGACATTGCAATCTCCATTGTTGTTGCAGGTGGAGGGAGCTGCCCCAGGAGGGCAACTGAGGGTCCAAGCAGTCTAATGGGGTCACATAGATTTGAGGCACCCTCATTAAGGTTTTGACAGCATTTACTAGAATCCCAAATTATCAGTAAATTTTGAGGTCCTCAGTGGTGCGCCTTGCAAATAATTGGGTGATGCTTTCCTCCAAGGCATAAGAGGTCTCCATCCATAAATAGTAAAGGTTGGAGACACATGTGCAGCCTTGGTTTAAAACCAATTTAGTTCTGTGCTCCTAACAATTTAATGTTTGGCCCTGTATTACCAGAGATGGGTCTAACTGCATAAGTCTATCAGACAAATAGGAGTGAAATTAGGACAATGTAATGGCCAGTGCCAGAGGTCAGGATATTGGTGGCTGGTGACTTTTAAGCATTTGTGACATTGGTCCCATTTAAGATAGAGGGCTTTAATTGCCTGGATAGTACCCACATCTGGTGGCTTTTTGGGCACAGTCACTCTAGAGCTAACTTCTAATACTCACTCTCCCCCCATCCTGGGGTGCAATTGCAGGTGAGTGATGTGCAGTTCCAGCCACTTTCTAGTGTTGCCTGTCTGGGATTGAAGCCCCATGACCATATGGCACACAGGACACTGAGTCTATTAACTGCCCCATGTGAAGATTTATTCTGGGGTGATTGTGGGTCAAAAGCTTATTGGTGCCTGTTCCAAAGTGTGGTAGGGTTAAGTGCTGTAATTGTATCACCATGTCGTAATCTTCGGATGTTACTGGTGTCAACCAATCTGATTGCCTTTTCCCGCCTTTTAGAGATCCACACCATTCTTTTGGTGGGTCCAGATGCAATTATTATCTCTTCATGTGTGGAGTTATAGTTAGAGCAAATGGGTTAGACTTCAGTAAGTGAGGCCCAGCAGCAGCATAGTGGTCAGTGTTCTTCTAATAAGCCAAGAATATCTATGACCGGGGGTCATAAGTAACTACCCTTCTCTAGGCCCAGCAGCCAGCCTCCCCTTCTAGTACTAATACAGGGGAACTACCCTTGGCTCCCAGGAGATAGATGGTGTCCCTTGTCCCTTACCAGGAAAAAGAAGCAGAGCCTTACTTTCCCATTTAGCTTTACCTTGGCTCAACACCAGACTTTCTAGTATGATTATTGCTGATCACCTCCAGACCTGACACTCAGGAGGGTCTATTGAGAAACACACCCACCTCAGACTGAGGTCTGTTGGTTGGTCTCTGCAGGGGAGTCTGATTTTTTACAACATCCACAATTTAGGGTGGATATTCACAGCAACACCTGGAAACAGCAATAAGCAGAGCACAATGCAATGCAACAGATCACCAGAAAGCAGTGGTTCCTTCCCAGAAAGTTAGTAAGCCACATGCAGGTCAAAGGCATCGTATATGGGTACAAACTGCACCCACAGTCCCGTCCTCCTGGCCACAATTGCGTTCTGAAGCTGGAGTTGGTGTGTTGAATTAAGATACCCAGCTTATGATCTGCTGAATGAGGAGGCAGGAGTGGGGGTGAGTGGGGGAGAAGGAAGTGAAATCCTAGAAATTGTTTTGATTGAAGGAGCAGTTTCAATACACCCACACAATGTAAACAGAACCACAAGGTTTATTACAGATCCCAGAAGTAAAGGGGCACAATTGAGCCAGGGGAAGGGCAGTCCCCAATCCCAAGTCACAAGCCGGCAGGAGGCAGAGAACAGGGTAAAAAGCACCTACTCCTTATAAGACGGTTGGGGTGAAGGTCACTAATTTTTCCCAGGCTTAACTCCAAAAAGTTATTTTAAAAGGTTCTTTGGGAAAAGTAAAGTGGAAATGATGATGGGCATCCTAAACTCATACCCTTGTCTAAATGTCCAGTCTGGGTGTAAGTAGGATTATCATACGGTAAAATGCCCAGGTAGTAACTGAGAAAAACAACGTGTTTTTTTCTCAAAAGTTGTTTTTCTCAAAGTCACAATTACTGAGATTTTTTTTTAAATCAAAAAGGTTGATTATTATGTAATCCTTTGTACACATGCTTATCACTCATGTCCAGATACTTCTGTTAAAAAAAAACAAAACACAAATTTCAACTATATAAATTTTAAAGATCTTACTGACTTTATTTAATAATTCATGATTTGGGCAGCATCCCATCTAGCAGATAAAAAGGAGCTTGGAGGAGCTGTACAAAATGAAAGACTTATAGGCAGAAGGGAGCAAGACAAGGAAGTTACACTAACAAAAAGTCAGTCCCCTTCCCTTAGGGGGTGGTGGGGATCTGTCGGACAGACGGCCTCACTAGTGCTGACTAGGTAATTTCTGATTGACTGGTATAAGATTCCATTCCTGGGAGAAGGTGAAACTGTACTGAAGTTAGGTAAGAACTTGGCTTGGTGACATGGGACTTGGCATACATGACTCCATTTGGGACCTGTTGCTTTATTTTTCAATACTTCAGACTCCAAGATGAGTATCAAATACCACATCTCTAATGAAGACTTGCCTTGTAGTTGATAATGTGACATGATACACTCTAACGGGGCACTCTGTCCTGGTGGTTGATACTGCTAACCTAAAAATAAAAAGCCAAAGTGAGAGGCAACAAGCATTTATTTGAGATCAAAACAAACTGAAATCTGTGGACATAAATTCAGGAAGAAACCCAAATTCCATCTCGGGGCGAAAGAAAGGGGTTTTTATGAGAAAGGGGAGGGAAATAATTACATGAATAGAAGAGAGGAATTTCTATTGATGCTAACAAGCTAAATTACCCTTTATTTATTTATACGTGAATGGTTACGGATTAAGAATGCCAAAGTCATCAGTCCTTGTGAGGTCTCCCTTCTTCTTTTAACTTTACAAACAATTCTTTTTAAGACAATGTTGGTTTGGCTCAGTCCAAAGATTATTTTGCTCAGTCTAATCATTCCAAATGTTCAAGGAGCAAGATGTACAAGGGATGGTGGCTCTTTTGAAATGGCTCCATTTGTATCAATTTTCTCAATACAATAGGCTTTGGAGTGAAAGAGCCTTAAGGCAGGTACCCTAGGTTCCTTTCTTAATTTGTTCTATGAATGTAGAAAGTTACTCAGCTTCTCTGACCAATGTTTCCTCCTTTGATGTAGGAATAATTACTGTATCAACCTTATTGGATCTTTTTTAGTGCAAAGTAAATTATATGAACATATGTACAGCACATTGCATAATGTCTGACACATAGTGAGCAGTTAACAAATGCTAGCAATTATGAAAGGCTGAGTCTAGATGTAAAGTAACTGTTGTTCACACAGGCTAGCTAGCTTTTTGAGCAGCACGTCACATAGAAGCATGCTTGACTTAGCAGTTCTCTCCGAAGAGCTCCTTCCCTTTCACTAGTAACATTACCCATCATCTCCTGCATATATACTTGTATGCAGTTTATTTATTTACTGGCAATTTTTTTCTCAGTGATTTATTAAGATAAAGTAATAAATATTATACTTACTATGTACTTCGCATTTTAAGTATTCTCTTTGTAATAATCTTATGTTAATAACTAGTAACTATAATAAATTTTGCTGATGATATTATATAAAATATATTAAATATTGAAAAACCTATAGAGTTTGCATCTCTACGTTTCGAGCCATATCTGAAGTTTCAATTCCCAGGCCTAAGTGTAGAGTTCAAATATACAGGGGCTTCAAGCAATCTAATAGTAAGAATTTAACAATTATGAGATGCAAAGAAAGGGTTGAAAGATCAAGTTTAAGGAAAAGAATCATAATGAAGCTAAAGCAATAGGTTGACAGGTACAACACATGGTGCTCCTAAATCTGTAATTATCATAAAATAAGCAGATACTGTGACAAATAACATTTGGTAAAGAAAAGCTCTTATGGATGTCATTGGTTTAATCAAACTGAAAAATAATTTGTCTTTCCTTTTTGTTTGAAAAACAGAGAAATTCGTTTGTGTCACATCTCATCAAATCTTCTACATCAAGCCACATCATGTTAGAAAAGATCATTCTGGTGTTGTCTCTTCAGATAAGTCTCCTAGGAATCACTCTTGGTGGGAATGTTCTGATTTGGCCGATGGAAGGTAGTCATTGGCTAAATATTAAGATCATTATAGATGAGCTCATTAAAAAGCAGCATAATGTGACTGTCATTGTTTACTCTGGTGCACTTTTCATTGATCCCACCTATAACCCATCTCTGACATTTGAAATATATAAGGTGCCCTTTGGGAAAGAAAGAATGGAAGAAATGATCAGAAATTTTATTTTGACATGGATGGGAAATAGACCATCTCCTTCAACCATTTGGAGATTCTATCAGGAGATTGGCATAGTCCTCCAGGACTTCCATGCACTGTGTAGAGAAATCTGTGATGGTGTTCTCAAAAACCAAAAGCTGATGGAAAAGTTGAAGAAAAGCAAATTTGAAGTCCTGGTATCAGATCCAGTATTTCCTTGTGGCGATATAGTAGCTTTAAAACTTGGAATTCCATTTATGTTCTCCTTGAGGTTTTCTCCAGCATCGACAGTGGAAAAGCACTGTGGGAAGACACCATACCCTCCTTCCTATGTTCCTGCTATTTTATCAGAACTAAACGACCAGATGTCTTTTACTGACAGAATAAGAAATTTCATTTCCTACCATCTACAGGACTACATCTTTCATACCCTTTGGAAATCATGGGATTCCTACTATAGTGAAGCTTTGGGTATGTAACTTTTTTTTGTATTATTTGAATTTAAACAAACAGACCTCTTTTTTATTTCCTATAACTATTTCTTTTCAATCCTACATATTGATTACTGTCATTATTATCATTTGATAGCAGGAAAGAACATAAAATAGAATATGCTTTGGGACTATAGTGTGCTGTTTTCTAATTTTATGGACTTGAAGATACCAACTATGTATTTTTATGCATAAAATACAGAAACAAATACCTTAGTTTAAAATTAGGACTTGATTCTCATTTACATATTGCACTAATAATAGGAATTGCCTAGAAACTTCAGTGGTGTGTGGGGGAAGCTGAAAGAGAATAAACTTTCTACAACCCTATTATTAATATAGACATTTGTATCTGTGTGAGCATGTTTAAAAACACATATGTAGTCCGGCTGGCATGGCTCAGCAGTTGAGCATTGACCTCTGATACAGGAGATCGAGGTTCAGTTCTGTCAGGGCACATGCCCGGGCTGCAGGCTCGATCCCCAGCAGGGGGCGTGCAGGAGGCAGCCGATCAATGACTCTCTCATTGATGTTTCTTTCTCTCTCTCCCTCTCCCTCTCCCTTCCTCTCTCTGAAGTCAACAAAAATATATTTTTAAAAAAAAATCCCCACATGTGTGGATAATCTCTGATCGTTGCTCATAGACTTCCTAGTGTTTAGCAGACACTCCCTTGGAAAGGGAGGGTACAACAAAGACTAAGATGAAGTTCCTGCCTTCAAGGATTTCACAGTCAAACAGGGAAGGTAGGCATGAAAGGGAGTGTTTACAATACGAATGGCATGGATAATGGAAAAAAATGTATGAAGGGCAGAAACGGTATAGAGGAGACAGGCAATATATGACAGGACAGAGTGGTGTTCTGAAAAGCTTCAAAGTTGAGGTAATACACAAGGAAATTTTTAAATAGTGAATATTAATTTCCTGAAAACTAAGTGTGGAGAAGGAAACAGTGTGCCCATGTTGTGGAGTCTAGACATAGCACATGTATGGTGGGTATTGCTGAGGAGTCAGTACTGAGGAAGGTCAAAGTGTAAGGTGGGCAGGCATGAGAAAGAACTCTGAAGATGTCAGTATTGCAAGAATGAATGAATGAAATATCTTCAAAGCATCTTGTATGTCATGCTAAGCATCTTGATTGGTATCTAACAAGTAACTGGGAACAGATTAAAGGGTTGTATTATGGCTAGATTGCATCTTATATAAACCACATAGACCGATGTGGACCGAAAGCGGACACGTTAGACTGGAGAACACTTCATCACTCCAGGAAAGATGTGCTGAAAGCATGGACTAGTGAGGTAGCTTATGAACTACAAAAAATGCAAATGGGAATACATAGGAACACACTCAGGAGAGCAAGTTCTTGAAAAACAATTTCTGCTTCCATGTGTGACCATAAAAAGGAAGTCTCTTTGCTATAGGGGTGAGAAAGAGTTTAATTACTTCTTTTTAAATTGAGATATAATTTACGTATAACATATTAGTGTCAGGTGTACAACATAATGATTTGATATTTGTATGTATTGCAAAATTATCACCTCGGTGAGTCTATTTAACACCCATTACCACACATAGTTACAGGGTTTTTTCTTGTGATGAGAACTTTTAAGATTCTCTCTCTTGGCAACTTTCAGATATACAATACAGCATTATTAACCACAGTAACCATGCTGTACACTGTATTCCCATGACATATTTATTTTGTAGCTGGAAGCTTGTGAGTTTTGATTCCATTCACCCATTTTGTCTACCCCCTACTCCTACCTCTGGCAAATATCAATCTGTATTTATGAGTTTGAGTTTTTTGTTTTTATGTTTCTTTGTTTTTTAATATTCCACATATTAGTGAAATCATATGGTATTTGTCTTTGTCTGACTTATTTCACTTAGCACAATGCCCTCAATTTCTATCCATGTTGTTGCAAATGACAGAATTTTCTTTTTTATGGCTGAATGTTTCATTGTATATATAACCACATTTTCACTACCCCTTCACCTATCAATGGACAGTTAGCCATGTCTTGGCAATTGTAAATAATACTGCTATGAACATTGGGGTCCAGGCATTTCTTTGAAAGAGTGGTTTTCTTTCCTTTGGATGTATACTCTAGACATGGAATTGATGGATCATATGGTAGTTCTGTTTTTAATTTTTTGAATAATCTCTTTAAAGTCATGCAGTACATAATGTTTTGATTAACAATGAACCACATACATGAGGGTGGTCTCACAGATTATAATGGAGGTGAACATTTTCTGTCACCTAGTGATGACAGTATTAGATACTGTAACGCTGTAGTACAGCCCGTTACTCTTGTATTTGTGGGATGCTGTTGTAAACAAACCTAATGTGCTGATAGTCGTATAAAAGTATAGCACATAAAATTGTGTACAGTTCATGATACTTGATAATAATAAACTCTGTTACTGGTTTATGTTTTTACATAACTGTGCTTTTAATTATTATTTTAGAGTTTACCCTTCTTACTACTTATTAAAAAAAGTTTGCTGTAAAACAGTATGACCTGTTACACTAGCAGCAGCCTCATACACCTTGTGTTTACTGCATCTCTTAATTGCATCATTTTCTCTTGTGCTTGATTTAATCCATGATGTTTTATAAATTTAGTATAGCCAAAGTGTAGTGTTTAAAAATTTACAGTAGTGTACAGCAATATCCTAGGCCTTCACACTCACTCACTCACTCACTCACTCACCCAGATCAGCTTCCAGTCCTACAAGTCCCACTCATTGTACATGCCCTATACCAGTGTACCATTTTTTATCTTTCATGCTGTGTTTTCACTATATCTTTTCTATATTCAGATATGTTTACATACACAAATACTTACTATTGTTTTATGATTACCTACTGTATTCAGTATAATAACATGCTGCCCAGGCTTCTAGCCCGGGAGTAATAGGCTATACCCTACAGCCCAGGTGTGTAGTAGGTTTCACCATCATGTTTATTTAAGGGCATCCAATGATGTTTGCATAACACTAAAATTGCCTGACTATGCATTTTTCAGAATTTATACCCGTCCTTAAGTGGTACATGACTACTGTGTTCCAAAGGAGCGGTACTAATACACATTCCCACCAACAGTGCACAGCGGTTCCCTTTTCTCCTCACCCACACTTATCTCTTGTCTTTTTTATAGCAGCTGTGAGATGATATCTCATTGTGGCTTTAATTTGCATTTCTGTGATGATTAATGATGATTAGTGATGTTGAGCACCTTTTCATGTACCTGTTGGCCATTTGTATGTCTTCTTCAGAAAAGTATCAAATCCCCTTTCCATTTTTAATCTTTTTTTTGCTAATAAGTTGCATAAGTTTTTATATATTTTGTATATTAACACCTTATCACATTTGTGATTGGCAAATATTTTCTCATTTGTTGATGGTTTCCTTTGCTGTGCTGATGCTTTTTTAGTTATACGTCGTCCCACTGTTAATATTTGCTTTTATTGCCCTTGCTTTGGGTTTCGAATCCCAAAAGAGTCATCATTAAGACCAATGTCAAGAAGCTTATTGCCTATGTTTTCTTCAATGAATTTTATGGTTTAAAGTCTTACTATTAGGCCTTTAATCTATTTTGAGTTAATTTTTGTGTATGGTGTAAGATAGTGTTCCGTTTTATTCTTTTGCACATGGCTGTCCAGTTTTCCTAACACCACTTATTAAAGAGATTTCCTTTTCCTGTTGTATATTCTTGGACTCTTCTTTTTTTTATTTCTTTTTTTTAATTTTATTTCACTGTCGTCCCACCCAGCTTGCTCCTTCACCAACATGCAAGTTCTTTCCCTTCCCTGCCTTCCAGACAGGCTGATGGGAGAGGCAGGTGTGGCCTTCATTGTCAGTAGTTCTCTAATGTGAAAAGGGGCAGCGCAGTTACTTAAACTGATCCAACCTCTTTGCATCTTACAAAGTTAAATAGCTAAAAGAAGTAAAATAAGAAGGCAATGCTTGAATGCTTGTGGAATGTACGGTGCATATTGGCCGCGCTTGCCTCATTACTATTTGCCTGCTTGCTTGTCCTGTTCAATCGTTTCTTTGGAAGGCAGTGGATTTTTCTCTTGTGTTTCTGTCCTCTTCAGTTTTTACTTTATCGGATTTCTCAATCTCAGCCATATTGGGTTTGTCAGACACGGTTGCAGAGGAAGAGTTCTGGAGATCAGAAGTCCCACACAGGTCTCATGCGGCCAAAATCAAGGTACTGGAGGGCCATATTCCTTTCCCGAGGTTCTAGGGAAGGCTCTGCCTGTTTTCTTGCCTTTTGCTGCTCCTAGAAGCTGCCCACATTCCTTGGCTTGTGACTTCATCTTGAAAGCCAGCAATGATGCATATCTTTGACTCTTCCCTGTAGTTACATTTCCCTCTCTTGGACTCTTCTTCATAAATGAATTGACCATATAGGCATGAGTTCATTGATGAGGAGTATTAAGAAAAGTGTTAGTTATAATTGGTGCATCACCTTCTCTGAATATGTTAGTTGCCCCCAAATTAAAAAATAGGTTTTCTCTTGGAATGTAAACAAAAACCTATGTATTCTGTCATTCAAAGAGAATAAGCAAAGCTATTCTGAGGGTTATAGACTATCCTGTGGTGATAGAAGTCAATAGTCAATATCATGGGGCTAAAATTGAAAGGTAGAAGATGAAGAAATGGTCATTTAGGAGGCAATGAAGCTGTTAATATCTGCAAAAATTCTTTAATCTCCTCATGTGTGCAATAAGCCAACAGTGACATTTGAGTATGTTCAGCCTCTCAGTTCATAAAATAGAGGAAGGTAAGTAGAGGGCTCCTTGCTCACTATATATGTCTCCATTTTTATCTCATTACTTAAACTTTCATCATCTGCTTCTTCTCAACCTAGGTGTAATGATTGTCATGATTGCAAGGCTCCTTATTCTTGCTGGTAAGATTATTCTCCAGATAAACCTTCCCCATGCTGGCAGCCTCAGTATCACATGTTTCATTGTATTGTGCTTGTAAGTTAATACTGGTAATAAAACCATACCATTCCACTATTCTTCAAGTCCTCACATGAGACTAATACTCCTTAACAATTTGTTCATGGGAATGTAATGAAGATTTCTAAAACTGTTCCTACTCTCTGATTTTGATATCATGTTTCTAATCAAATTATACTTTTCTGACTTAGAATGACTATTTAAGTTTGTTTTACTGAAACACATTCTTATTGATGCCCAGGGACATGAACACTCATACTCAGAATGCCAGGTAAGAAGTAAAAGTAGTGACATGGCAGAGTAATTTATTTTTGTGCAAGTCTTTGTACATGTGATAAATGCAAATGATAAGTAGAACTGACTTGTGAAAATAACATTCCCAATTTGTAATTTGAATTTATCTTTTACTTTAGCTTGACTGCTCTAATCAAGTCATTGTAAGGGATCCATATACGTTCAGGTCTCAAATTGTCACACCTGAGTAAATAAATAGAACAACTTTTTGTAAGATTAGTTTTCTGCAGTGTAATGCAATGAGAACCTCAAAGTGAGCCCTTAATCTTTGCTAATTGCTAGAAATGGGATAGTATAATGTCAAATTACTTATTTTATTTCAAGTCGTGGGTATTTGTTTCAAACTCATGGACATCTTTATAGTAATAGCAGTAAACATTTGTTGATCTCAGCCTGTGCACTAGACACTGTGATAAGTGCTTCATGTTCATTATACCTCCTAATCCCTGCAATAAATTTGTAAAGAAAAATTACTATCACAGATAATGTTGAGGTTTAGAAATATCAAACATGTTACAGTAAAATAATACAGCTACCAGTTTGAGAAAATAGTTTTCAAATGAAATCTTTCTGACACCAAAGCTTCTGGAAATTTTTTTCTCTCCTTTTAAAATTTCAAATGCAAACCTAGCAATTATTTACACTATTTTAGGTTTAAACTTTCTTGGGTACTTTCTTCTTCCTTTCAGTGTATTTAGCTTTTGAAATCTGCTGTTCTATTTCTCACCTATTTTAGTCTGCTGAATAAATTTAATTGGGCCATGTTATCAGTAGGGAACTTGCTATTCCCTTAAGCACAGGTTCCAGGTGACTGTTGCCTGGAGAAATTTCTGGTGTTAAGAAAGAATCCCTCTAACTGAAAGAAAGAAAAGTCTGCTGTGGATTTCAAATATATTTGTTTAAACTTGAACCAGGTAAATTTTATTTTTATGGACATATTAACAACAAAAAAGCCACAAAAATTGAGGAAACATTTAAGGAAAGAATAATGTAGAATTTTAATGCCAGTAAAAAATATTCATAACCCATTACCTATTAAAACCAACAGTTTACACTTTGGTCACTGGAAAAACAAACAGGTTTTTATTTGTGTGAGTAAACTTTATATATTAGATTTGCAAAAATAATGTATTATTATATATAAATAAATGAATGATTTCTAAGAACTAATGTCATCTATAATAACAATAAACTATCTTGCAAGTATATTAATTTAAATAGAAAAAAAAAATCTTCAGAAAAGAAGATTATGACCACAATATTTAGAACTTTGCATGAACTAAGTACTCAGAGCACAGACAATTAATATAAAATAAAGTGATACAAATGAAACAAGTTTGAGTGTGTATATCTCCAAAGTGTTTCATTTACAGTAGACATTTTATTTATCTATTTATTAAAATGTATTGATTGTTTTGAGAGAGAGAGAGAGAGAGAACACACCAATGTGAGAGGGAAACATTATCGGCTGCCTCCAGCACATGTCCCTACCCTGGCTGGAGATCGAACCTGCAACCTGGGTATGTGCCCTGACTGGGAATCAAACCCACCACTTTTTGTTATACAGGACAACACCCCAACCAATTGAATCGCAATGGCTAGGGCAACAGTAGACATTTCAAAGGAGAAAAAAATGTATTAGAGTCTTTTTCTTGAAGAGTAATATATTTTGGCTTGGATCTTTCTTTTCTGTCTTTTTTTCTCTCTTCCTGATTTTTCCTTTGCTCGCCTCTCTCCTTCCTCCCTTCTTTCCTATCTTCCTTTATTTTTAAATTTAACTTAATCTTGATTTTTTTGGAATCTTTCAAATAACTGCTGGTAGCATCACCTTTTGCACAATGCTCATGAGCTGGATAACAGCCACAGGCATGACACCCAAGATGGAATTTGTTCTGGGTCATGCACCATTCCCAAAGAGAGCTGTCACTCTTTTTTCCTCCCACTCAATAAAAGAGAATAGAGGTTATAATTTTTATGGGTATAATCTTGAGTTTTATATTATTAACCTAAAAATAAAAGGCCTAAAATAAAAGTGAGTTCTTGGAGCTGGACTAATAATCAAATGAACATGAAACAGATTAACAGTAGAAAATGACCAAAATTATTATGTATGTACATATGGGGTTCCACAGAATGAGACCATGAGATGGAGGACAGATCAGGCAGCTGGGTGTACATGCCATGTTGAGCTTGGGAGAAAGGGGTGGTGTGGTTTCGGACTTCAAAAAGTAGGAGGCAATTCACAGGGGGATAGCAAAGCAAATGTTTGGTAAATAAATGTTTGCTGGGCCATGCTGGGTTCCCCTTTTTCTATCGCACACCAATTTGGTTATATTAAACTACAGCCATCTATGATGATATTTCCCCTCCTGGAGCAGATCCTCTAATTCTTTTAGGCAGTTAGGGGGAAAGTCAAAGTTTTTTCTTCAGTCTTTCATTTCTTGAAAATAGCCAGCTTAAAAATTATTAATATATCAAAAGGCATATTTTAGGGTGGCAAACTCTGCTTCCCCTCGGCACTAAAGCTCGGGTACCCCAGTGAGAGGAGGTGATAAGCTCTGCTTAAATTGGTCATTTTAAAAGTAAGATTCTCTTCCTACAATATCATATATAGTTAATATTTATTGTACACAGATGCCATTGTGAATAATTAGTACCCACTGTTTCATTTATTCCTCACAACTACAGGAAATAGGCATCTTTGTTCTTCCCCACTTTGTAATGAGAAAGCTGAGAAACTTACCCGAGGCTTTAATCAAGAAAGTAGTGAAGCCTTTGATGGCAGACTCGGGGCTAAAATGAAAGCTCTAGAAAGATTCTTGGTTTATATACAACAAAACAAATGGGACATTTTAAATCTACATTTAATCATTCAAAAGAACTAAATGCTACTCAAAATAAAATTGAAGCACTAATGTGAGGCTAAAACTTTAAAGTTCTTAAGGAGTTGACAACTCATGTTCCTAAAACAGTGTGAAGGCTGCTTCCCAGGCTTTTGTGGCCTCTGGGGCCACTTCTAAAACTGAAAGGCAATGAGAAATGAATCAGCACAATGAAATCTTAGCCATCCTGTGCAATGCCTCAGAAGCAAACAGGAAGAAGAGGCCTTCACTTCAGGGTATGCCTTTGGGTGGATAATATGTAAGAAAGAACTTCCGTACAAAAATGTTTTAGGGATTCTCAATTCAAACTAATAACATATATTTTTAAGAAATTTTGTTCTAAGTTAATTTTATACACATGAACAAAACATTCTTCAGTAAGTGTTATATACCAAATGTTATTAAATATGATTAAATATGAAGACTTGATATGTTTTATTCCACTTTGGAGTCCTCCCTTTAAAGTAAACAGAAATGAAAATGAAAACTTGATTCAAAGTACAAGGATAAAATTCTAATTAGTCAAAATTTTCTATAGCTCATCCATTTTGTACATAAAAATACCTTATAATAAAGACATACAACTTGAAAGTACTACATGTTTTGACAAAGTGGCTTTAGCAATCAGAGGTGTTACTTTTCATTTAACCTAATTTTGGAAAGATACATTAAATTTAGAGACACATTTTATAAATAATAGTTATCATAGAGTACACAGATACTAGGCTTATAAACTGCCTGTCTTTTTTTTCTTTAAAATAAGACCATATTTCATGTCTGTTGTTGAAATAATCATAATGCACATAAGGATTTAATTACATTGTTTTCCTTTTCATCTATAGATCAATTGACCTATGAATGAGTGTAGCTGTTACATTAAATATTATTATATTTGAAAAATATATACTTACCTAAATATACTTTGAAAGTTCGTTTTCATCTGAAAAGACCTACAGTAGGTTGATTTCCATAATGAACATCACCATGCCTAAGAAGTTTGTCTTTCTCCTGGTTTTTAATTTGACTCTGACTGAAGTTGTTTTAAGTGGAAATGTGCTCATTTGGCCGACGGATGGTAGCCATTGGTTAAATATTAAGATCATTCTAGAAGAGCTGACTCAAAGAAATCACAATGTGACCGTACTGGCTTCATCAGCAACTTTATTCATCAACTCCAATCCTGATTCTCTTGTGAATTTTGAGGTGATACCTGTTTCCTTCAAGAAGAGCAATATAGATTCCTTAATTGAACATATGATAATGCTGTGGATAGACCACAGGCCAACTCCTCTCACACTCTGGACTTTCTACAAAGAACTCGGAAAACTCCTAGATACTTTTTTTCAAATTAACCTACAAATCTGTGATGGCGTATTAAACAACCCCAAGTTAATGTCAAGACTTCAGAAAGGTGGTTTTGATGTGTTGGTAGCCGACCCAGTAACAATCTGTGGGGACCTGGTTGCTCTGAAATTAGGAATTCCATTTATGTACACATTGAGGTTCTCCCCAGCCTCAACAGTGGAGAGACACTGTGGGAAAATTCCCACACCTGCCTCCTATGTACCAGCAGCCTTGTCCGAGCTCACTGACCAGATGACCTTTGCTGAAAGGGTTAAAAATATCATATCTTATCCTCTGCAAGACTATATATTTCAGTCCTACTGGGGAGAATGGAATTTGTACTACAGCAAAGTTTTAGGTAAGTCTCTAAAATGTCCTCTTATTAACGACTCTAGATACCTTATTTATTCTTGTTAATACAGCTGAATGTTTCATCCCACCGCACATGCCAAACCGAAGTAAATATACTTATTATACCTTCGTACAAGTCCTTGATCATTAACTTGGGATAAATTCATTAAAAATGGAATGGTGGTATTAATATGTGTGCCAATAGTGCAAATAATCTTGTGCCTATTTAAGAAATAGCTTTTCAATGTGTAAATCAATCTTCAAATATAGATGGAAATACCTTTACTAGGATAAATTATGCAAAAAAAATATCTTGGCAAACATTTTGAAGTGATACACCATTTACTTTCTCTTCTTGGTTCTTCATTCTTTTCTTTGCAGAAAACTTTTAAAAGCCTAAGACTGAGCATGGCAACCTGAGTTTGTACCCTCCTCTGCCTCTCACTCTCTCTCCATCCTTAGGCTCTTCTGAATGTTTGGGCTAGCACTGTCTACAACTTAAGTTTTCAGTTTCCTTTGGCCAGCCTCAAATTTCCTTGCCTTGCAGTTTCCTCATGAGGATCAAGCAAAATAATGCAAACTGTCAAGCCAGTTCCGGTTGGCTACCTACTTCTCCTTCCGCCCTTTATGAGCATTCTTTCCTTTATTTTTCTTTTTTCTCCTTCCCTACATGTTATTTTTTCTGTATCTATCAGCAGTATCAGTATCGGTGGTATTAATTAACAGTGGGAATTAATACTTGATGCTATCAATGGTACTTTCTTACAAAGGCTATGTTCAAAATACTGTTCTTTTACACAACTTTTGGCCTTCCTCTGTTCCTCCATTTTTCTTTCTCTCTCCTCTTTCCTCATCTCTTCCCTCCCTCCCTCCCTCCCTGTTTCCTTCCTTCCTTCCTTCCTTCCTTCCTTCCTTCCTTCCTTCCTTCCTTCCTTCCTTCCTCCCTTCCTCCCTTCCTCCCTTCCTCCCTTCCTCCCTTCCTCCCTTCCTCTTGCTTTCTTTGTGTAAAAAAGTATTTATTGAACCCAGTATCTACAACTTTTCTGTGTACTGAGAATGCAACAGGTAGCAAGATAGATCAAAATCTCTACCTAAATGGAGCTTATGTTCTAGTAAGAAGAGACAGATGATAAAATAAATATGCAAAATATATAGGATGTGAAAGTGTAATATATGCTGTATAGTAGAGTAAGAAAAACTGGATTGTTCTGGGAGTCGGATTATACGTTTAAATGGGAAGGTCAGGGAAGGTCTCGAATGAAAGGGCGGCCTTTGAGCAAAGACCCAGGGGCAGTGAGAGTGAGAGCCAGTGGGCTCCCTGGAGGAAAAGCACTCAGGCATCGGGGAAAAAAACAAGTACAAAGGCCTGTGGCAAGCTGCAGATGCAGGAACATTTTTACTATAACCCAACATTAATTTTACCCTTCACAAGTGGAATTTGTATATGTATAATTTTCTCTTTCCTTGATGTTAGAACATTCTTCATCCAATTTTCCATCATTTAAACTTTTAAAATTCTTTATAGAATTGGTCTAGAGGGAGGATATTGAACATATCACACATATAAATAAAACACATGCAAGTTAACTAAAATTTGCTTGTAACTTTGAAGATATGATAATTAGAATTTTGAAAGTAAAATTCTGTTTTAATATTCTTTAGAATGCAACTTATATATATTTTCTTTATCTCTGAATTCCAAATTTCATATGCCTCAGAAATGTATTTTTCTGTAAATTTAGATGTTAGTCACACAATTATTTTCTAAGACATCCAAAATATATTCAATAATAATTATCACTGCCCATATTATGTATCACATATATTATGGGTACTGGATAAGGTAATAGTCTAGATGCTTTAAATAAGGGGATTACAAAAGGTAAGATTGTGAAAGGTCTTGAAAAGCATATAAGATTCTGCGTTCAAGTTCCACCTGCTTACTGTGTGATCTGAGGCAAGACCATGACAAATTATATAATGTGTGAAAAAGCATGTTCTCATTTTCACAGGATTTCCGCAATCCCACACGTTGAGAAATTAAATGTATTACTTACTTAAATCCTTTAGGCTCTTCGTGTTATTAAATCTATTTGAAGTATATTGTCAGGAAGAACTGATATAATCCAGTTTGTCTTTTATTTTCAATTATGTTTTTAAAGTATTAAGGACACCTGGTAACTGTAAACTGATACCGAAATAGGGTGGGTACCTTACATTTGATATCATCTTTGAACACAGGAAGTTTAATAACATGTAAAATTTCTGTGGCGTTTCCATTTCAATGGTTGCTCTTCAGTTCTGTGGGAAAAATAAACCAGAAAAATATCATGATTCACAGTAGTAAAGAAAGCCCCCAAATATCTACATTGAAGGAAAGAGAAGGAAGTAACAAGGAAATATCTAACTGCACTGGTTAAAAATCCTGTTTTATTTATCAGAGAGGAAGTCCTAAGTTTTACTGATGAAGCGAGTAAAAATGATCATCAACTCAATTTTAATTATACTTTTACACCTAATGGAAAAAGCATATTTGAGAATATGACAATCACTGCTATTTATTTCCAGGAGTGAATCTATTGACAATTCTCACCCAGGCCCAATGTTCTACCTTCCAATTGCACTGCGCGTGATCTCTCCCCGACCCTTGCATTGAGAGATATCCTGTACAACGTGTAGATAATTCATATGTGGGAAGGGTTTGGGACCAGCATTTGCTGCGTATATAGGAAGGCAAGGGCTTGAACGCTGTAGTGAAAGTGGCTAAACTGGTAAGGCAACTTGGATGGCACCTTTTGCCTGTGTGTTCGTTTCCCAGTCTGCCTCTAGCTTTCCGAGTGCACTGCAGGTCAGGAGAGCAGAAAGCCCAGCACTAACTTATATGCCACTTGGCCAGTGTAGCCTACTTTTACCTATCAGTAACGTTGGTTCTGTGTTGGCCTCTCTTTCCGTCTATATTAGATGGATTTCCTAGAACTAATGCTACCTTTTTCCAGCCCGTGAAAAAAAATAAGCCTCTAAACATTGTCCCCCAACCCACTTGCCTAGAACTGAGCTAGATTACTCACAACATTATTTATATTCGATCTCCGGCTCCCTTTCGGGACCCAGTACTTTGTTAGTTTTTGTGTGTCCCACTCCCATTCTAAGCCCCATTCACAACCTCCCACCCTTTTTCTAGAAAACTTGGATCTCTCTGTTCATCTTCTGTCATGAGTCTTCTAGTTCCTTCTCACATACAGCTTTCTTGTGGTCAGTGCTGTGAGGTGTTCTGAAATTTTCTGTAAACATTCTTTTGAAGTCAAACATTTATAGCTCATTGAAGTTTCACAATGTGAACCCACCCATGCAACTAGCACCCACATCCAGAAACAAAGTATTGTTACAACCCATAACTTCTATTCATTCTTCATACCAGCCCGATGACTCCCATCTAAAGGTAAACACTTTCTTGACTTCTAACACCAGATTAATTTTGCCCGATTTTAAACTTTGTGTTAATGAACCACACATTATGGACTCTTTTATATTTTGCTTCTTTTACTTAACATAGTGTTTATTATATTTGTCCAATTACAGAAAATATAATAATATGCTTGTTTATTATATTTGTTGCATTTAGGTTTAGTTTGTTCATTCTCACAGTTATATCGATTCTATTGAATTAATAGACCACATTTTATTTATCTGTTCTACTGTTGATGGACATGTAGACTATCTGGTGTAAGCTATTTACAATAAACACTGCTATAAACGTTCTTGTACATGTCTTTTGGTAAATATACATGTTCCATACTGTTAGGTATATTCATAAGAGTGAAATTGGCAGGTCAGAGCATATGACAATGTTTAGTTTTTGTAGGTACTGCTAAAATTTAATTTCCAAAGTGCTTGTACCAGTTAACCCCACCAATCATCCACTAGAATTCCAATTGTTCTACATTCTTACCAACTCTTGGAATTCTTCTTTCTTTTTTAAAAATTTTTAACCATGCTGTTGATGCATAGTGTTATCCCATTTTTTATTATTAAGGGCTAATTGACCTATGGCTAAAAAAAAGTACATAAAGTATACAGAGTGGTTTTTGTCAAATGTGTGTATCTCTGTAACTAACAGCTATCAAATTCTTGGCTCCCACTCTAACAAAGCTACTCTCCAGACTTTTTCAGATACTGAATAACTATTGAAAACTAATATATTAGTTTTCATTCTTCATTCTTATTCACTTCTATTTTTCTTTTGTTGGCTTTTTAATGCATCCTCTAATCATTTTAACTGGAAAAGTGACATGATTACATTGTCATTCATGTTCAGTTTGTGATCCATCAAGAATCTCTGGTCTAATTCTCTATTAGATGATTCTGCAGCTAATTAATTCCTTTGATAATTGTACCATCTTTATTGTTAACTTAATAAATACTCTTGCTAAACACTTACTTGGTACCAAGCACTTTGTTAGGTACACTGCAGGTATTATTGCTAATCCACACCAAAAACATCCAAGAATGATCATTATCTGCCTTTGTTTGGTATTGAATTTTAAGCGTTTTTAATATATTTTAGATATTAACCCTTTGTCAGAGCTGTTGTTTGCAAATATAATCTCCCATTCGGTCAGTTGCCTTTTGTCATGTTTCTTTTGCTGTGCGGAAGCTTTTTAGTTTGATATAGCCCCAGTCATTTATTTTTGTCTTTTACTTCCCTTGCCTTAGGGAAAATTCATAAAATGTTCTCTATGACCAAGGTCCGTAAGTTTAGTGCCTATGTTTCTTTCTATGTACTTTATTGTTTCAGATTTTACATTTAGGTCTTTGATCCATTTGAAATAATTTTTGTACATGGAACAAACTGTAATGTAGTTTCATTCTTTTGCATGTGGCTTTCTAGTTTTCCCAGTACCATTTATTAAATAGGCTTTCTCTTCTCTATTGTGTGTTTTGGCTCCTTTGGCGAAAATTATCTGCCCATTTACATGTGGTTTTATTTCTGGGCTCTCAAATCTGTTC